GAGGCGGGGAGCAGCCATGGGGTGCCGGGGGCTGGTGCATTGGCCGGGGGGCACTGGGGAGGAGGGGGCGCGGGGGGGCAGGCGCTCAGAGGCACTGGAGGGGCGGGTGGGAGGGTAGGGCCGGCAGCGGCGGCGGGGTTTGGGGGGGTTGATTGGGGGGGGCGTTTATTGGGTTTTATTCCAAGTTCCCCTGGATTCCCTCCCCAGGCGGCGCGTCCCCAGTTTGTTACTGGTGCAGGTGGGGGCGGTCCCCCCAGCCTGACTGGTGCGTACTGGGCGGGACAAAGGTTGGAGATTAGGGGGCAGGTTGGGTTGGGGGATGGGGGGCGGATGGGGGCAGCGGGTGAGGGCTGGGAATACAGGGGTGGGTGTCACTCAGCATTGGTGGTGTGTGGAGTGTGGGGAGCCCTGGGGTGGATCGGGGGTGGATTGGGATGTAGGGCAGATAGGGATGGGGATGAATTGGGGGCAAGCTGGAAATTGGGGGGCTGAGGGACATGGGGGGTCAGTCGGTGCACAGTCCCCTGGATTAACTGCTCCCCTCTGCTCTCTCTCCGCAGGCCCTGTCGCCGCCATGGTGCTGCCCCTCACCCTGTGTCTGGGCTGCCCCCTGCTGCTCTGCGACCTGGCCCTGCGGGCCCTGCTGGGCTGGGGTGCCCCCTCGCTGGCCCCCCTGGGGCTGTCGGCCACCTGGCTGGAGGCTGCTGTGCGTTTCCTGGGGCTCTGGGGGGCCTGGGGGCTGCTGGCCCCGGATCGGCCCCACCTGTCCCCCCCCCAGGGCCCTGGCTGCCCTGTGCCTGCTGCCCCCCCTGTACCTCACCCTGCGGCGCTGCCTGCCCCTGCCCGACGTGCCCCCCGCCCTGCTGGCCGGCGCCCCCTGGGCCTGGCTTCTGCTGAGCTATGGGGCAGTGGGGCTGGCCCAGCTCACCTGGGGGGCCCTGGGGCAGGGGGACAGGGCTGGAGGGCCCGGCACTGAGAAGACGGAGCGGGAGTCCAGGGCCATCCTGCGCCGGCTGGTGGGGCTCTCCCAGCCTGACGTGCCCTTCCTGTCCGGGGCCTTCGTCTTTCTCACCCTGGCTGTGATCGGTGAGTGGGCCCCGTGGGGGAAGGCTGCCGGGCAGGGAGCTAATTGCAGGCACCAGGCTCAAAGGAGTTACTGACAGAACAACTCCAGAGCTCGATCAGAAAGTCAGAGACCCGGGTTCGGGGCCACAGGCTGCTCTGGCAGGTCACGCAGGCCTCGGCCCACAAGAGATGCAGGGATTGCAACACCTACCCCGAAATCCCGGGAACACCGATCGACCGACACCGCCCGAGTCCAGCACCAGGGCTCCCTGTACAACAAACTGGGGAGGGGGGGTGCACAAAGGAGGGGAGCCGCCTAAGCTAGCTAACGGGAGATGCTGACGAGAGGCTCATGTGCTAAGCCCCCTCGCCCCCCAGAGACAGCTGCCTAAGTCCAGGGCTCAGGGAGGCACCAACCACTGCTTGTGACCCACACGTGGGAGCCCCTCACCTGGTCAGGCAGGTGCTGCGTCTTGCGAGAAAATGCTGGAGGAGATGCCCAGTGGTTAGCGACCTTGCCTGGGGCGTGGGAGCCCCCTAGTTTAAGTGTCCATCCCCGTGATGAGGAAAAGGGATTTGAACAGGGTGGAGGCCCTAACCGCTGGGCGACGCAGTCATTCCCACCCGCTCTCTGGCCCAAGGGCTCTTGTAAGTGTCTATCCACCGTGGCACAACTTCAGCAGGAGAGACTGAGGCAGACCAATATCCACAGCTCCGTACTCGGAGCCCTCTCGTGAGAGGTGGGAAACCCCTCTTCAAATCCCTTCTGTTCGGGCAGACGGGGACTTGAACCAGGCTCTCCCAGCAGCCCAGGTGTGGGCTCGAAGCATTGGGCTAAAAGCTGTAGGGGACTTGCCACCTTCTCTGGAATGGGACTCAAGCCAGTGAGATGCCTCTGAGCGCACCTCCGGACTGGACCCCGCAGGCAAAGGACTACCTGTCCCGGGTTCACCAGTCCACCTGGGGCGTAGGCGGGAGAGAGGTGATTGTGTCCCCACTCTTGCTCCTCCTCTTACCCCCCCTTTACTTTTGGCAGCTCAGTATCCAGACGTCATCAGCTTTGGGAAAAGTGACCGAGTGGCAGAAAGGAGAAGGGAGTGTAACTCTGCTGCCCTGGCACTTTGCCAGTGGTCGAGACGCTTAGAAAAACTGCAGACCGGCCAGAGGCAAAATGGGGGGAAACCCACATAAAATAAAATGTTTCTGAAAGATTTAAAAGAAAACCATAAAACCCTCCAAAGCAGAAACATGGTTTTGTTTCCCCCTCGTTTAGGGTGACGAGAGGTCCTGATTTTATAGGGACAGTCCCGATATTTGGGGCTTTTTCTTATATAGGCTCCTATTACCCCCACCCCCGTCCCGATTTTTTTTTTTGCTGTAAATTGCTAGTTGTGTCTCCGGCTCTGTGTGAGTGGGACTGGGGCTTTCCCAAAGCAGCGCCCCCTCCCCCCCCCAGGCTGCGAAGTCACAGACACAAAGCAGGTGCTTATGGGGCAGTGCCCAAGGCGCAGGCCAGCTCCACAGACCCCCGGCAGCCGGGTGCAGCTCTGCATGTGCCCCCGCCTTAGTTCCCCAGCTGGGTCAGCAGTAAGGTGACCAAGGCTTTATGCATTGAATAGCCCCCTGCCCCTTTAATGCAACAGACCCGAGGCAGCCCCTTGGCGTGGAGCAGACTCCATGTGAGTGTCTCAGCCCCACAGCCAGGCCCTTCACCCCCAGGGCACGGCCCCCCTCCATTGCCTCCCTGGGATCAGGCCCTCACGGCCCATTGCAGCACCTCTCCCAGCCGCACACAGCTCCTGGCCGGCTGGGAGACCCCCCTCGGCTCCTTCCCCAGCAGCTCTCCTGCTCTGTTCCCTGGGCCTGTTCGCTCCTACTCCCCTCTGGGAGCCTGTTCTCAGGGCCAGGGGCTTGTTAGCCAATGAGGCTGCCAAACAGCATCTAGGTACACCTCTACCTCGATATAACGCTGTCCTTGGGAGCCAAAAAATCTTCCTGCGTTATAGGTGAAACCGCGTTATATCAAACTTGCTTTGATCCGCCGGAGTGCACAGCCCCCCCCCCCCCCCCGAGCACTGCTTTACCGCGTTATAGCCGAATTCGTGTTATATCGAGGTAGAGGTGTAGTTAATTACTCACAGCTGGCTGAGATGGGCTCCTTCTCCTTAAAGAAGCCCCTGGGCCCTGACGCCCCTTAAAGGGGCCCGCCCGCCCCTCCAGCCATGACCGGTGTGTTCTCTGAGCCTGCCGTCGGGAGCAGAATTTGCAAAGGGCTCAGCATGTGGGAACGTCCCTAAAGTTTATTAAAATCTTTCCAGTAGAAGAGAAATGGTGGGTTTGACAGTCCCCTGCTGGGACGAAAATACTGAATGGGGGTCAAGAGGAACGCAAGTCCACAGATTCCTAGGGCAGGAAGGGAGGCTTTGCTTTGGGGGATGGCCCCCTGCTTGCCCCAGGGCTGGCTCACCCCCGTGTCTCTGTGGCAGGTGAGATGTTCATCCCCTACTACACGGGACGTGTCATCGACATCCTGGGCAGCAGCTACGGCCGCGACGCCTTCACCACCGCCGTCGGCCTCATGTGCCTGACCTCCTTCGGCAGGTGAGATCCCACTTCCCCCACCAGCACTGCTACCCCACAAGACTCCAACCCGGCCCTGGGGAAGAGCCTTCTTGCCTCTTACGCTGGTACCCCCATTGTGGCGGGGTCCCCGGGGTGCAGCCTGGACTGTGGGACCGCGGAGCAGGGAGGGCACACACCAGCCTTTGTAAACTGAGCTGAGAGTTCCCCAAGTACTTCAAGCAAAACACTCTGGTTTAGGTGGACTATCAAACAGGTTTATTAACTACCGAGAGACAGATCTGAAGTGATTATAAGTAGCAGGCGCAGAGATCAAAGTTGGTTACCTAAGAAACAAAAATAAATGCACAGTCTAAATTCTAACTTAAACAGACTAAGCACGATTGGAATCAAGCGGCGTCTCACCCTGACAGATGGGACAAGCAGGTTACACAGATACACAATACACAGACTGGACCCCGGTCCAGGCTGGGACCCATCTTCCCCAGGCAAAGTCTTTGTCTTCCAGCTGTGCTTCCAGGTGTTGCGATGGGGGAGGAGAGAGGCCAAGTGGGGATGTTTTTCCTATTTTGTTCTGTCTTGGTCTCCCCTTCTCCTCCCAGCTCCCTGGCTGCCAGCTGCCGCGAGGGGCTGTTCATGTTCACGCTCTCCCGGCTCCACATCCGCATCCGCCAGCTCCTCTTCTCCTCCCTGGTGCGCCAGGACCTGGCCTTCTTCCAGCAGGTCAAAACAGGTGGGTCTGGCCCTGGCGCCTCTTCCCCACAGTCTCTCTATCCATACGGGCAGCGCCTCAGGGGCCTGGTGGAGTCACAGCCTAAGCTCCCTTCCAGTGGAGTGCACCTTGACGAGCTGGTGAGCCCTGTCTACACTAGGGTTTTTAAATGTGGTAGCCCTGAAGCTGCTCTGTCTTATGCCAGAGGGCAGACAGGGGCCAGAATATGGGGTTTAAAGCCACCTTAACCAGCTACCTCCCACCCCCCTTGCTGGGATCAGGTAACTGGGAGTCAGGCCCATCCGGTTTGTCCCAGCCGAGCCGTCTCCTGCCTTGGGAGATCAAGCTACATTGTGGAATTTGCACCCACTCTGGACAATGTCGGACAGAGGCTTCGTTGTGCCATAACCCCTCCCAGAGGGACATCCCCAACCAGCACCAGGCCCCTTCTCTGGCATGGATCTGTGTCTCACCACATCCTGTCGCTCCCCCGCCCCCCAGGGGACCTGACCTCGCGCCTCTCCACGGACGCGGCCATGATGAGCCGCTCGGTGCCAGACAGCGTCAACATCTTCCTGTGCAACCTGGTGAAGGCGCTGGGGCTGTACGGCTTCATGCTGGGGCTCTCCTGGCGCCTGACGCTGCTCACGCTGCTCGAGACGCCCCTCACCATGGCCGCCCAGAACCTCTACGACGCCCGACGCCAGGTACGGGGCAGGGGCGATTCCCTCCATGCCAGGGACCCTGCGTGTGCAGAGCTACCTGGGGCAGCAGGGACCCATCTCTGACCCCTCTCCCCAGGCCGTGCTGAGGGCGATCCAGGACTCCCTGGCGCGCTCCGGCGAGGTCGTGCGCGAGTCCGTCTCCTCCATCGAGACCGTGCGCAGCTTCGCCACCGAGGACGAGGAGTCGCGGCGCTACGAGGCGGCGCTGGCCGAGACCCACCGGCTGAAAAAGCGCCATGACCTGGAGAGGGAGCTGTACCTGCTCTTCTGCCAGGTGAGCGGGGATGGGGGGACCCAGGCGTCCGGGGGAGGCAGTTTGTGGTTGGATGGGTTAGCCAGCATGTGGGGAACTGGGTGTCCAGGGGATGCAAAACTAGAACCACACTGTACATCCGGTCAGCTGGGGCCTGGGCACCCTGTCCCAACGCCATGTATAATATTCTCTCTTTCCCCCAGCTGCTGCATCTGGCCGTGCAGGTGCTGATGCTGTACTGCGGGCACCAGCAGATCCGCGCCGGGCTCCTGACCAAGGGCAGCCTGGTCTCCTTTGTCCTCTACCAGTGGGACGTGGGGGGCTGCATTAAGGTAAGGGGCTGGATCCTAATGGGGCCATATGGCCTGTTCTCCCTACACAGTTACTGCAGGAAGAAGACCCAATAGGCTGGGAGGAACGAGGATTTGCTGACACACCAGAGCTCCAGGTTCCAATTTCCCATGGGGTCACCTGTGCGCCGAGTTTGCTGGGACTCAGCCTGGCACTGTCCTCCTGCAGGTGTTTGTCTGAGATGCTGATGGGAGCTGGGTTCAAATCCCTCCTGGGCTGGACTTGGAGATCCTGTAGACCCAAAGCAGTCCCTGGGGAAGGAGGGAGTGTGTTGGAATTATTATTCTTATTTATGGAGAGTGTTATCACAACGCTAATTTAACCATCAATTCCTTTATTAAATCCAGAGACCGAATGGCACTTATACAATTGTTCTAAACATGCCTGAAGAGTAGGGCTATTGATTCATCGCAGCTAACTCACGCGGTTAACTCAAAAAAATTAATCGCAATTAATCGCAGTTTTAATCGCACTGTTAAACAATCGAATACCAATTGAAATGCATTAAATATTTTTGGATGTTTTTCTACATTTTCAAATATATTGATTTCAGTTACAACACAGAGTACAAAGTGTACAGTGATCACTTTATATTATTATTTGTATTACAAATATGTGCACTGTAAAAATGCTAAACAAAAGAAATTGTATTTTTCAATTCACCTCATACAAGTACTGTAGTGCAATGTCTTTATCGTGAAAGTGTAACTTACAAATGTAGTTTTTTTTGTTACATAACCACTCAAAACCAAAACATTGTCAAACTTTAGAGCCTACAAGTCCACTCAGTCCTACTTCTTGTTCAGTCAATCACTTAGACAAACAAGTTTTTTTACATTGACAGGAGATAATGCTGCCCTCTTCTTATTTACAATGTCACCTGAAAGTGAGAACAGGCGTTCGCATGGCACTGTTGTAGCTGGCATTGCAAGGTATTTACGTGCCAGATATGCTAAATATTTGTATGCCCCTTCATGCTTCGGCCACCATTCCAGAGGACATGCTTCCATGCTGATGACACTCGTTAAAAAAATAATGCGCTAATTAAATTTGTGACTGAACTCCTTGGGGGGAGAATTGTATGTCTCCTGCTCCATTTTACCCGCATTCTGCCATATAGTTCATGTTATAGCAGTCTCGGATGATGACTCAGCACATGTTGTTCATTTTAAGAACACTTTCACTGCAGATTTAACAAAACACAAAGAAGGTACCAATGTGAGATTTCTAAAAATAGCTACAGCACTCGACCCAAGGTTTAAGAATCTGAAGTGCCGTCCAAATCTGAGAGGGACGAGGTGTGGAACATGCTTTCAGAAGTCTTAAAAGTGCAACGCTCTGAATCGGAAACTACAGAACCCAAACCACCAAAAAAGAAAATCAACCTTCTGCTGGTGGCATCTGACTCAGATGATGAAAATGAACATGCGTCGGTCGGCACTGCTTTGGATTCTTATCGAGCAGAACCCGTCATCGGCATGGACACATGTCCTCTGGAATGGTGGTTGAAGCATGAAGGGACATAGGAATCGTTAGCGCATCTGGCATGTAAATATCTTGCGATTCTGGCTACAACAGTGCCATGCGAACGCCTGTTCTCACCTTCCAGTGACATTGTAAACAAGAAGCGGGCAGCATTATCTCCTGCAAATGTAAACAAACTTGTTTGTCTGAGTGATTGGCTGAACAAAAAGTAGGACTGAGTGGACTTGTAGGCTCTAAAGTTTTACACTGTTTTATTTTTGAATGCAGTTATTTTTTGTACATAATTCTACATTTGTAAGTTCAACTTTCATGACAAAGAGATTGCACTACAGTACTTGTATTAGGTGAATTGAAAAATACTATTTCTTTTGTTTTTTACAGTGCAAGTATTTGTAATCAAAAATAAATATAAAGTGAGCACTGTACACTTTGTATTCTGTGTTGTAATTGAAATCAATAGATCTGAAAATGTAGAAAACATCCAAAATATTTAAATAACTGGTATTCTATTATTGGTTAACAGTGCGATTAAGCGCGCAATTAATTGTGATTAATTTTTCCAGTCGCTTGACAGCCCTGCTAAAAAGCCTAAGTAATAAGCAAGTTACTACACCCAGACAGTAACGAAACATTTATAACCATCTGATCAAGATACTTACAAGCGGGCTAAACCCAGGGGTGCTGAGACCCATATTAGTTGGAATTAGCAATGAACCCTATAAGAGTTAACAAACAAGTGCTGTCACTGCCAATTATCGGACTTCAGCTAAGGCCAGATGAAGGCGTTTCTTATACATGTATTGTCAATTACGTCCTGTACCTGGGACCCAATGAACTGTGTTTTGTTGTTATTACTTTAGCTCAAACCTTAAATAAGGTAACACTGGTATTTCGCACAACTCTTCTTTCTCATGATCTCGTTCTGCTTGGGCACATGCTTTGGGCCTGTTGCTCGTGCTAATATCCCGACTCAATTTAAACCCATAGTTCACCCAGATCTAAAACGGGCCTATATTCCCACAGAGCAGGAGTCCCCATCTCGAAGGTCTTGTCAAACAACCCTGATTTCGTTCTTGGCCATGACAGGTTCGGTTGGTAAAGGTGACGGAGTCGATGTAGACTTAGGCTTTGGTAAGGTGTTTGAATCAGCACCGCACAACATTCGGATTAAACCCGAGCTGGTGGTCTCGGACAGTAGGTGTCAGTGGGACGTGACTATCGAATGTGGGGTTTTCTAGTGGGGCTCCGCAGGGATCAGGTCTGGGCCTGGCACTACTCAGCATTTTAATCAGGCATCTGGAAGTAAATCTAAAATCACTGCTGATAACATTTGTGGCTGACCCCTAGGTCGGGGCAGTGGTGAATAATGCTGAGGATGGGGCAGTCATGCAGAGTGATACTGATTACTTCTGCAATCTGTACCTGTTCAAACAGAATGTGTTTTAATACAGCCACGTGCAAAGTCAGACAGCTGAGATCAAGGAATGCAGGGCATAATCACAGACTGGGGGACAGGGTCCTGGAAAGCCTGGACTCTACAGGCTTTAGGGTCCCAGTGGACAAGTAAGGGCAGGGCTACACTTAAAGCGCTGCATCTGCGCCACCGTGGTGCTTAGTGAAGACGCTACCTACAGCAGCGAGAGGGCGTCTGCCATCAGGTGCCCCACCTTCCCGAGAGGCAGTAGCTGTGTTGGTGGGAGAAGTGCCAATATGGAGGTGGTGGTGGCAGGGTTGGGGCCGAGGAGTTGAAGTGTGGGAGGGGGCTCTGGGCTGGGGCAGGGAGTTGGGGTACAGGGGGTGAGGGCTCTGGGGTGGGGCCGGGGATGAGGGGGTTGGGGTGCAGGAGCAGGCTCAGGGATTTGGGGTACAGGGGGTGAGGGCTCTGGCTGGAGGTGAAGGCTCTGGGGTGGGGCCGGGAATGTGGGGTTTGGGGCACAGGCTTCCCCGGAGCTGCGGCGGGGAGAGAGGACTCCCCCCAGCCCTCTTTCTACAGCAGCCCGGGGCTGGCGGAGAGGCTGCAGCAGCCGGGGCTCGGCTGGGGCGGGGAGAGAGGCGCCTCTCCCTGTCTGCACGGCCTTTGATAGCCTGCTGCACGGTCATGCAGCTGCGCAGCTCAGAGGGAACTTAGATGCTCACCTAATTTCCTAGTGTAGATGTGGCCTAACGGAACACGAGCTCCCGGGGCGATGCTGTGGCAAAGGGCTAATGTGGCTCTGGGGTGTATAAAGAGGGGAGTAGTGAGTAGGGGAAGGGTGACTTTCCCTGTCTGTACGGCACTGGGGAAGCCAATGCTGGAACACTGTGGTCACATCCTGTACAAAGGGTGTTGGGGAAGTTGGAGAGGATGCAGAAAAGAGCCACACACAGGATGTGAGGGTGGAGAAAGTGTCAGACAGTGAGACGGACAGAGCTCAATCTGTTTATCAGAAAGAAGGTTAAGAGGTGACTTGATTCCTGTGTGTGAGGGAGCTTCACCGGGAGAAAATACCAGGTACTAACGGGCTCTGTAATCTGGCGGAGAAACGCAGAACAGGAACCCATGGCTGGAAGCTGCAGCCAGACAAATTTCAATCAGAAATAAAACACACGTTTTTCCCAGTGACGGTAACTAACCATTGGAACAAACCCCCCAGGGAAGTGATGGGTTCTCTGTCTTTTGGTGTTGTCCAGACTGGAAGCCTTTCTGAAAGACGCCTGAGTCACACCCAAGTTCCTGGGCTCAATACGGGGTAACCGGGTGCGGCTAAACCGGCCGTTTATACAGGAGATCAGACTGGATGAGTTGATGGTCAGTTCTGGTCTTCACATCTTTACAATGGGAGATGGGAAGCGCTGTACGTAGCTAGTAGTTTTCTCCTTTGTTCCTCTTTTCTTCCCATCCCTGCCCTCCCCAGACCCTGGCGAGCACCTGTGGGGACCTGCTGAGCAACGTGGGGGCGGCGGAGAAGGTGTTCGAGTACCTGGACCGGGAGCCGGCCGTGCGCACCGACGGGACGCGGGCGCCGGAGTCTCTGCAGGGACACGTCTCCTTCCACAACGTCTCCTTCTCCTACCCCTCCCGCCCGGACCGCCAGGTCCTAAAGGTACCTACAGCGAGGCGGCTACACCCTACCCCCGGCTACACCCTACCCCCGGCTACAACCTACCCCTGGCTACACCCCACCCCTGGCTCAAAGCCCAAGGGGAGGGGATCCCCCGGCTCACGGCCCCAGGCCGGATCCCCCAGCTCCCAGCCCCTCTGATCTCCCCACGCGACAGGCACTTTGATACTCTCCCTGCTGTCCCAGGACGTGTCCTTCGAGCTGCGTCCCGGGGAGGTGACAGCGCTGGTGGGGCTGAACGGCAGCGGGAAGAGCACGTGCGTGGGGCTGCTGGAGCGGTTCTACGAGCCCCAGGCCGGGGAGATCCTGCTGGACGGGGTGCCCCTCCGGGAGTACGAGCACCGGTACCTGCACCGCCAGGTGAGGGCAGCGGGGGCAGGGTCTGGGCTGCTGCTCACTCGGTGTGACGAGTTGAGCAGGTCTCAGCCCCTAACACCGCCCCCTCTCACCGGCAGGTGGCCCTGGTGGGGCAGGAGCCCGTCCTCTTCTCCGGCTCCATCCGGGAGAACATCGCCTACGGGCTGGGGGGCTGCGGGGAGGAGCAGGTCACCAGGGCGGCCAGAGCGGCCCACGCCTCTGGGTTCATCGTGGAGCTGGACAGCGGCTTTGAGACAGGTGAGTCACCACTGCCCGCGCTGCAAGGGCTTCTGGGAAAGGTCCCCTGCTCTAACCACTAGGCCCCACTCCCCTCCCAGAGCTGGGATAGAACCCAGGAGTCCTGGCTCCAGCCCCCCCTGCTCTGACCCACCAGCCCCCACTCCTCTCTCAGAGCTGGGGAGAGAACCCAGGAGTTCTGACCCCTCTCTCCCTCTCTCTCTCTCTCTCTGACCCCCTGCAGACGTGGGGGAGAAGGGCGGGCAGCTCTCGGCGGGGCAGAAGCAGCGGATTGCCATCGCCCGGGCACTGATCTGCCAGCCGGCCGTGCTGATCCTGGATGAAGCCACCAGTGCGCTGGATGTGGAGAGCGAATGCGCGGTGAGTGGTGGGGGCAGTGGGATCCGAACTCTGAGCCTGGCCGGCCTGAGTGTCTCCGGTCTGCGTCGTGTGCGGATGGACCGTAACGCGGCTGTGCTCCTCCCCCTAGATCCGCCAGTCGGTGCTGAGCCGGGGGCGCCGGACGGTGCTGGTGATCGCCCACCGCATGCAGATGGTGGAGAACGCCGACAGGATCGTGGTGCTGGAGGGCGGGGCCGTGGCCGAGGAGGGGACGCACACTGAGCTGATGGGGCGCAAGGGGCCCTACTACAGACTGGTGCAGAGACACCTGGCCGAGTAACCCCCCACCCCGGGGAATAGCCCAACACCGGCCTTACGGCTCGTCCCCTCCTCCCCCCGGCACAGGGGGACATGGAACATACTGACAGCGGCTGATTAGCGTATGATGTCGGGTCACTGGTTTATCGCCTGCGTTGGGTTTCGGTTCTGTGCGGGGAGTCCCGGGGGGCAGGCGTGTTCGACTGGCTGAGCGCGAGACGAGTGTTTTGTAAAATACATTGAAGAGGTGAAACGTCCGAGCAGCGTCTGTGACGGTCTCTGGCTGGAAACGCCGTCGCTGGTCCCGTGCTGCAGCGTTGGCTCTCGCTGGAACCAGGCCGTGGCTGTAACGCCCCACGGAACCAGTCGTGTTTAACGAAGAACGTGGCCTCCCGGTCAGGCTGGAGCTCTGCGACCCGCCCGGAGAGCTGGGAATTGCGGGTCAGAGCGTGGCTGGGGCTCGGCCCGGGCACTGCCAGCGCACGGCTGTGGAGAGCCAGCAGGAGGTGCTCCGGGCTCTGAGCGGGTGGGTCTGTCTCACAGTAACAGCAGCCGCTGTCTGTCAGCACCGGGGCCGGGGTCACTCCGGTTTCTATCCCAGGCTGGCGGAGCAGAGCTGATCCTGGGGAGGGGCCGCAGGCCGGCAGGGGGTCACTGGGTCACAGACGCTGAAATGTCAGACAGGCCTGAGCGCCTGGGGGCACGGAGGGGGGGGCGGGTGAGACAGGTGGTTAACCATGGCCGGGCTGTGGGAACATTTAAGGTCTCTGAGCTAAATAAAACTTAACAAGGCGAATGGAATCTCTCAGCTCCCCTGGGCCACTGGTCAACATCACTATCTCCAGAGGGGGAAACTGAGGCCTTGTCTACACTACACAGTTTTGTTGACTAAATAGCAGAGGTGTACACACTGCACTGCTCCTCCTGCCAATTTAACTCTTCCGCTACGCCAACAAAATCAAACCACCTCGACAAGAGGCTGAGAGCTTTCTGCAGCAACATTATATTGACAAAGTGTCAGTGTAGACACTGCGCTTGGTTATGTCGCTGTAAATGGCCTCCAGGAGGTGTCCCACAATGCCCATCCTGACCGCTCTGGTCAGCAGTTCCAATTCCACTGCCCTGCACCGGGTACACGGGCACCCGCCCCTCCCCCTTTTAAAGGGCCGGGAATTTTGGAAATTCCACGTCCTGTTTGCTCGGCGTGGAGAGCTCATATTGCATCTTCCCCACTGACCCTGGCAGCTCCACGCGGCGAGCACTCTCCCGCTCGGCGCACCCCGAGTTGTTGGATCTGCTGGGTGTCCCAGCTCCGCTCCAGCCATAGGAACTTGGATACCTCTGGGAAAATTTCTCGTGGCAGGTTGGATAAGGGCCACGAACAGGACAGGCAGCCGGGCCGTGCGAAAATCAAGCAGCTGCGGCAGGCGTACCAGAAGGCAAGGGAGGCAAACGGTCGCTCCGGTGCTGCAAGGAGCTCGACGCCATCCTCGGCGGCAACCCCACCTCCACCACCGAGAGCCCCGTGGACACTTCGGGGGGCTGGAGAGAGCAGCCAGCAGACACCCCTGAGGAGGAAGTGGAGATGGAGGATGAGATGGGACAGGGTTTGCCGGTAGCATGGCGAGCCGGGACCTGTTCTCCACCCCAGGGAGCTCAAGCCAGTCCCAGCACTCCATCTCTGGCGCACATGATGCCGGAGAGGGGAGCTCTGGTGAGCACTCGTTTGATTTGCTGCTGCCCCGTTACATGTGCTAGAGCTGCCCTTTGTTTCGTTATGTGCGAGAAGTGGGTTAAGGGATAGAAACGAACAGGACTCGCAGTGTTTGTGTCTGCTTCCTATTCTCCTATCCAGCTACCCATAAGCTATACTAAGCCAGTAACAAAAGTAAACGGTCTCACGTCACTGGTTAACAAGAAGTCAAGGATGCAGTTTCCTTAGGCATTGCACTGCTCACTTCATTGCCCGGACACTAGACTTCAGGATGAGTGGTTATTTCAAACCAATTTCATCAAGCAAGAGATCAGCCACACAGCAGGGTCAGTCTGTAACTCAGACCTTACCCAATCATCATGCTGTTGTCAATCCTTTTCTGTATCTTTTTCAATTCCAATATATCTTAAGAGTAGGAACGGCCATACGAGGTCAAAGCAATGGTCCATCTAGCCCAGTGTCCTGTCTGCCGACAGTGGCCAGTGCCAGGTGCCCCAGAGGGAATGAACAGAACACGGAATCAAGTGACCCATCCCGTCACCCATTCCCAGCTGCTGGCAAACTGAGATGAGGGACATCATCCCTGCCCATCCTGGCTAATAGCCACTGATGGACCTATCCTCCATGAACTTATCTAGTTCTTTTTTGAACTGTTATAGTCTTGGCCTTCACAACATCCTCTGGCAAGGAGTTCCACAGGTTGATTGTGCATATTATTTCTTTTTTTTGCCTGGTTTCTGGCCTTTCAGTTGCTCTCACTTCAAGTTTTCAAACTTTTCTTCACAAACCCCAGGGCTAGGAATTGCTTGTTAAAATCAAAGAGGAAAGTTGCCTTCTCACAGACCCACAGGACTCCAGGAGCTGGGGCTTTCAGAACAGACCCCAA